AGAGTGCCGGTGGTTCGATGCCTCAGAATGAGGCAGGTACCGGTACTTATACCGGTAGGCCATGGTCTGGCCTCAATGCTGTGAGGCCAAGCCAGGCCCTGGACCGTCCAGATGGACGGTTCAGCCTCCATCAGCGGGTGGCAGCCTTAAGAGCGCCGCCAGGCCCAAACAAACTGTCGTTTGGGCCTACCCACTGGGCTGAGTGCAAAATCAGGCCTTTAGGGCCTGTGACCCTCAAGGTCGGGCCTTTAGGCCCTGGTGTGTTCCTCCGGCCCTAAGTCGGGTCCGGTAGGACCCGTGTGGCATCGAAGATGTAACATGAAGAGAACTTCCAGTGTTCCATAAACCACCAGTCCCCTTTCCAGCTATTTTGTTCCGACACAGCAGTTAACCCGCCGTGTTAACAGGGGCCTCACCCATCAGAGCAAAAAGGCTGGCAGTGCCAGGCAAAAATATACATATTTTTGTTTTTGAGCTTGTGTCCGTCCTTTTTTTGGGCGCGCAGCACCTTAAGTTTTTACACGTTCACTGAGGACGAGAGAAATAAAGGCGAGCGATCATAGATATGAGTGCAATCAACAATTTGTTACTCACACATGGCCGAGGGCAAAAGTTGAGGAAATCAATAGATAGCCGCTTTCGACAGAGCAGAACAGCACGTTTGCCCACACTCAGGAAGCTTCCAAAGCACAACAGGGCTACAACCAAATGAGGGGAAGTTGGGGCCCTGCATGCGTCAACAGACCATCAGCCATTGATTCTGTGTAAGCCTCACTGCGAGAGGAAAAGAATCGGTGCAGCATGCATGTGCTCATTTATGTGTGCTTCACTGCTCACCCGAGGACAGATATGCCCGCTCATTTCCGTACGTGTGATGTACCACACATTAGGCAACAAATAACATGCACGCCTACTTTATGCACATGAGACCATGTGGCCGCACCTGACACCATGAAGTATTCTCAAACCAGTGTGAAGAAGGTAGGAGGTAGGGCTTTTCTCCCTTGACGTACCTGAAGACACCTGACAGCATGAGGTTTCGCTTAAACAACCAGAGAGCGCGAAGCAAATGTGCAACTCCCCTTCCACTCTGACGAGATCTGCTCGACTACCCTTGCCAGCTTGACTAACAACGCCCTTGACCTGCCTTTGTCAACTTGGGATTTGTATTATTAATTTATTATTATTATTATTATTTTAACGCCCAGGTCGTTGTAGAGGCAGGGTATCAGGCGCGGGAATACTCTCCCGGGTTCAACCGCTCGAAGTTCGGGATGACCCACTTGGCCCTCCGAACCTTTCCTAGACGGAGTCCACCTAAGGCCTCAGAGCCCTAGGTCCTTCATACTCCCTCGACCCAATGCTTCCAGCCCTGATCCTTCGATGACCTCCTGCAGACAATGAATCACATGGCCGCGACTGCTGTTGTCCTGTCACTGCTGAAGTGAGAACATTCACTGAGGCATGAGTCCCCAAGACCACACTGTCTCCAGTCCGAGCCCGAATCATTCACAAACTACGTTGTTGGCACTTGTTGTCCTTTGTCCCTCTCGCATCACTCGTTCAAAGCGCACCTTAAACCACCAGTATCTCACCCAGGCAAACTTGAGAATCGAAATTGCGCCAACCTGGATTCTTCAGATGAACAGTGCTACCAGACCAAAATGGTTGGCGGCACCAGCCAAAAAAGGAAAAAAGTGCACTGCTGGCGGTTTGGTTCTTTTGGGCGTGCAGTGCAAATCCACATTGAGAAAAAAAGAGGCTCGGAGGTACTGGTGGTGCTGGTGGTTTAAAGATCTCTGTGAAACCCAAGTGAGTTTGTGTGTTGCCAACTTGCCACAGGATGCTAGACATCTAAGTCCTGAGGGAAAAGGCATAAATGCTGGCTGTTAAGTGCAAGTTTCCTCGTCCCCGTACAGTTGAGCAGGAAGTGTCATTTTCGTGTGTGTCTGTGTGCGTGTTTGTGTGTGCGCGCATGCCTGTGTGTGTGTGCGCGCGCATGCACGCGCGTGCATGTGCCTCTGTGTGTGTGTGTGTGTGTGTGTGTGTGT